AACCCAGACAGATGCCTTCTTGGTTTTTACTGTGAACTGAAAGGATAATTTAACAGGATGCTTATGCTCATCAATTTTATTGGCGCGAGTATTGTCCATGCTGCCTTCTGAGTCATGAGAGAGTCAATATGTTCTGCTTTCTTAATTTATAAACAGGTATTAGAAATCAGCTGCAACAATTCAATGAGTTTTTTAATAATTTGGAACAAAAAAGGCTGTTATTCTTCTTCATAGAAAAATGTAAAAAAATAAATAAATAAATAAATAAAACGCAAATATCTTTGAGCAGCTTCAGAAAATTTAGTAAGTTTACACTTATTGTCTTTTAAATAATATAAAATAGTATTTTCACCATTAACTAATCAACTCTTCATTGACTATTTCTTACTCGTGTTGGCAAACTGAGTCAGACTGAGCAGTGCACAAAAACATGAAATTATTAATTTTGCTGTGATTAAGATTTGCATAAAAATGAGTCCATAAAGACACGGTCTAGTGATCCCGGTAACAAAAACAGCATATAATCATCTTAACCTCCATTTAAATCAAAGTTTTCTCACTGGTATGCCTCCAGAATTATTCCTTTTAACATTATTTTCAGCCAGCTGCTAACGCGCTGGGAAATCCCTTCGTATAATGTTTGGCGTCATTGTGAAGGTTGGGCTTTCCCCTTTTCAAATGTACTACTGGAATTCCTAATGACATCACTCTAGACCAATAAAAATCAATGTTTTCAAACCAGCACGATCATAATCAGAACTACAGTAAGTTGTTGCCAGGTGGTAAATTGCCATATTTCAACAAACCATTCATTATTAAAGCTTCTGAGATGGAGAATTTAAAAATAAAAATATCCCAGTATTAAAAAAGTCCTCAGTGTGCTCGTTTTGCCAGCATGGGTCATGCATGATGTGCAAAATATTATTAACAGTCTGTAATGTTGGTCAACAAATAATTATATCAAATTTATAATTATAAATAATTAAATCAAATCTCATTTTAAACTTGTTTGCCAACTCTGCAGCACGAGTTTAAAATAAAACAAGGAGCTGTGTAAAATATTTCTAAATGTCTATTACCAGTTGTAAGTCTGCTTTTTCTAATCTTGTTACATTAGAATTATTTCTTTATGCTTCAAAAATATGTTAGTGTTGCCAACATAGACTAAGTCTTGTGAACGGTGGTTTAATTGCACCTTTAAGCTTGTTGCATCGTTGCTCCAAAATGTGCCGTAAGTCTTTCCAAGCTAATCCCCCTCAGCTCATTACATGGCTCTCACATTTTATCTGTGCAGGACAGAATGGGAAATGATTTACTGTCTTTTTACCTTTCATCTCCCAACACTTTTCTAACGTCCGTCTTTGTCACTTGGAAAAAAAAAAAATCCCTCCCTGTGCAAAATTTGGACTTCTGTCCCGTTATGTTTTTCAAAGACCTGTTTGGTCACAGCCTTAATCGTCATTTGCTTTGGATAAGTAGCTGTCCCAGATTTTGATGCTCCATCAAAATCGATGTGGAGATTAAATGATGTTACTATCTCAGACTCACATGGGCACAATGTGACTACATCAGCGAGAAGATGTGAACCTGTACAGTTATGGGATTATATCTAGACACATTGGTCGGTCACGTCCTTTAATCAATAAAACCTGATTTATTTATTGGTTAGGCGAGAAGTCTGCAAGATCCACTCTAAAAAAATGTAGAATAGTAAACAAATATAAAAGCAGTTACATCTCTGTATAATAGAACTTGTGTATTCACTTCTTTTCATAAACAGCTCTTCTTCTGGTTACACTTTCTGCTGTTTAGCCGCAATGTCTTTTCATTAGTGACACCTGCTGTTCATACGAAGAACTAAAGCAGCACAAGTACAAACAGCTACAAACACTGAAAATGTGCTTCACTTTGATTTTTGTTTCTTTGCAGCTGTTCTCTCTTCAGGGGTCACCACAACGAGTCATCCTCCTCCATCTCTGTCCTCTGTAACTGCATCCATATATCTCCTCTTTGTCTTTTTCCTGGTAGCTGCATTTCTAACATCCTTCTACCAGTATACCCACTATCCCTCCTTTGGACATGTCAAAACCATCTCAGTCTGGCCTCTCTAACTTTATCTCCCAGTTGTTCAACCTGTGCTGTACCTCTGATGATCTCATTCCTAATCTTATCCATCCTTGTCACAACTAAGGAGAACCTCAACATCTTCAGATCTGTCACTTCCAGTTTTGTCTCCTGTCTTCTTGTCAGACAAGAGACTGACGCGCTTCACTTGGATCATGTGGAATAAATAATGGTCTAGAAAGAAAATATTTGTTCATATTTTAGGTTAGAAAGTAGAAAGTGAAATTTGCTGAACAATAAAGCACATCTGGGTGACTAAAGGCTGAACTGATCTGGTTTTGCCCAACTGTTGACAGTGTATCAAGATACGTACCCTATCAGCCACAAGCCAATGAAGCACAACCAAAGTACAACTCCTTCTACAGTACAATGTGACAGATAGTTCACCCCATTTAGACTTTGGAGATTACCATTTAACGTTTTGACTGAAGTGGTAACAACAATGTATTCTGAATTTAGAGACTTTCCTCACACACATACATAAAACAAACCAACTTCCACTAGAAGTCTAGACTAAATCAGGATGCAATCAGGTGTAAGACTGTGAGGGTTTTGTGGATTTTCAAGACTATTTGTATGCTACTTACTGCCTTAATTGTTCTCTAGTTCATGTCTGCCCACATCAGCTCATTCCACCATCTTGGCCTTGGTCTATGTTAAGATATCCCACAATGATGGTATCCAAAACTGCAGCGTTGATTCCTCCACAAACACAGCAAAAGCAATATTAGTGCTCCTTTCAGTCTCTCAGCTTAGAAACCACATCCACTTTCCTCTGCGGGAGTGCAGCTGACAGCTAAGGGGTTAGATACGGTTAAGATTTTTCCCCCCCCCCCCCCCCCCACACACACACCTAAAATAGCCTTTTATTCTGCTGCTCTTAAACTGCTTTTACTTCACCAGTCAACACAGATCAGAGGAGGCCAGCTATAAGGGAAGCAGAAAAGCACTACTTCTGTTGAGCTTAAAGAAAAAAAAACACGGGGAGACAGAGAAAGCACAGCGTCTGAGGCCTGAACTGAAGATGGCTCACATCGGAGCAGCAAACACATATTGTTCTCTGTTTCTGCTCCAAGACGTTCAGCCTTCAACAGATAAAACACCTTTCCGTCTTCCTTGTTGTCACTCTTACATCTTCAAGGTTCACTTCTGCTTTTATAGAGTGACTTTCACGCTCCGTGAAGTAACCTGATGTTTAATTCATCACAAACCATCCCAAAGCGTACTTGTTTTCTGTTTTTGTTGCTCTTGTTCGGGCTCTGACTTGATGAAACCACAGTTCCACTGACTCAAAACGGGACAAATACAACTTTAATGATAAGAATAAATAAAGTATATTTGTACTGTGTAGACACAAACAGTACAACGTTTACTATGTGGAAAAAGTCCAGGCTGCTCTTCTGCCTGAGTGTGGACAGTCTTGCCCTAGTTAAGTTTATTTTGATACTAGAATACAAGCAAAAAAAAAAGCAACTACTTTGAAGAAATATAATTACCATTAAAGAAAATCCCCGCTGGATGGTGGTTGTTGAATTAAATAATATCTCTCAAAAATGGAAAAAAGCATCTGTATTGACAATTCAGACTTTTACAATTTATTCAGCCAAACCTTCTCCCTTTACAAACTCTTTGAGTGAATCTTAAGAAAAACAAGGTTTAAAAAAACAAAGGAAGAATGGGGGTGATTGTCTTTTCCTCAGGTGGAAGAGTTTCAGTATGTCTTGTTCATGAGTGATAGTAGGATGGATCCGGACATGGATTAATGCATCGGGGCCTCGTCCGCAATAATGACGTTGTTGCTTTGGTTGGTTTTGGTGAAGAAAGAGTTGCATCGAAATGCAAAGCTCTTGATTTAAGTGGTCTATGTTCGTCTACGTTCACCTACTGTATGGTATTGAGGTTTGGTTCATGACCGAAATAAAGATCCCAGATCCCTGCTCCTTCGCATCAAAAGGAGTCTGTTGAGGTGGTTAAGGCATCTGATTAGGGTGCCTCCTGGGCACCTCCCTTCTGAGGTTATCCAGGCATGTTCCACTGGTAAGAGGCCCCAGGCCAGACCCAGGACCTGCTGGGGAGATTATTAATTTTCTCTTGCCTGAAAATGTCGCTGGGTCCTCCAGGAGAAACTGGACAGTGTCGCTGGAGAGAGAGGGAGGTCTGGGTTTCTCTCCTGGACCTGTTGCCTCTGAACCCACTTTGGATAGGCAATAATAGATGGAGATGGAGAGATGTACAAGACCACGAAGTAAATTTATTCAAGAACAAACAAACAAGCACATCAAATGTCTTAAAGAACAAATATTACACCTCATAGGAAGGTATGGTAGCTTAGCTCAAAAATCTACACAATCAAAAACATAATTACAAAAAGTAGCATGTTTATGCCTTCTGTTGTAGTAAGCTCAGCTAACTATCTTTCTTTAATGGTTCGTTCCGTTTGTATTCAGAAGTCAGAATTTTGTAGTGACAAGTCAGAGAAATCAACAGAATCCCACACAAAGTCAGAATTCTCACTCTACAAGTCAAACGATCCTGACCATCCCTAACCTTACAATCGAATATGTCTGCCTTGTGCATAAAAATTGCAGTAATAAACGTTTTATTTTCAATTCTGTCAGTTTGTATCTCATTAAATAAGTTGAACTTCACCTCGACTATTGCCACAGCGTTTTACTGCAGAGAAATAAACTGCTCTCAGCTGTGTTGCATTGGTCCTGCAAATGTTTTCAAAGAAATCTACTGTAAATGTGTTTATGTGTTTGAAAATAGCTCAAGACCATTTGTATCTCATGGTGTTTCATACAGGCTGTCTCAAAAGGTTTTGTGTTTCTTTACCATTAACTCTTTTATTCCTTCTCTCCTTTCTCCTCACACAGCGTCCCCACCACGCCCACGCTCTCTTCGACTTCACCCCCCAACACCCTTCCCAGCTGCACTTCCTGCGCGGTGATGTCATCGAACTCATTGACTGCTCCGATTCGCTACGTTGGAGGGGTCGTTGCCAAGGACGCGTAGGCTACTTCCCCCCAGAGTACGTCCAACCCATTTACCAGCACCAGTGACCGGAGACGTCAAGCAGACACGCATTCATTCCCGAGGCCTTAATCGATGAGGCATCCTGACCCCCCTTCTCCCTCCCTCCAAAACACACGCACACATGCCCTCAAACTTCTGGAGCGAATGAGTAAATGAGCTGAACTGATTTCTCCCACGTCTCCGTGATGTCACCTGTCAACAACAAAAACAAAGCTCTTCAGTCTTCTCCCCCTGATTCTTTGCCCCATTTCTCTATTAAAGGAATCACTGGGATATGGACCTACACACTGTGGAAGACACAGTCATTAACTAACAGACACACACAAACTCCCAGGCATAATCATTCATTATATCTTATCAGTGCTGGTGCAGGCTAGCAAAAAGGAACACACACACCCGGAGAAGGCCACTTTTGATAGAAATGCAGATTTGCTCCAGGATCATCCAGGAAGACATCTGGTGAGCCAAGAAGAGACACAGGAACAAATTGTGATGGAAATTTTTAGTCCAAACACTGAAGATTCTGACGCAACAGACCCCTCAGTCATTAGGCTGATACATGAAGGGGTTTAACAGGAGTGGCTGAGCGTATGTAAACCTGTGAACTCTACATGCTAGTGATCATGTGTGTTACTGAAAAAAATAATTGTGTGTGTTGATACTCTGTGGAATGGTAAAGGGTGTTTCTGTACATTTACTGAGTGGAATACTGCTTAAGACGCTGCTTTAAAAATACTGCTTAAGATGTGATATGCCTGACTCAGTTTGTGGATCATTTGTTTGTGTCTACATATTTATTCTCTTTAACCTGAATGCAAAGATACTGTAAATAAAAGTTCATCACTGTAAGAAGATTTTAATTCTGTTGCAACAAACAGTACAACCGCTTAGAAAAAACAACACAATTTACAGTAAAAACCTGGACTGGTCTTCCATTATTACTTGTTCTGAAAAAACATTTCAATAAAGTGTATTTACCTCTTTGAACCTGTAGTTTGTGCATGAATAAACTAGCAATGACTATGCTCCAAATTTCCCTTTAGAAATCAATAGTCATCATGATAGTGAATTGACCAATACAGCAGTCCCTCGATACTTCGTGGTTCAACTTTCGCAGACTCACTCTTTTGTGGGTTTTCAGCGTAAGATTGTAAACAACACACAATTGGCTGATTGATGGAAGGCAACCAACCAGAGCATTGTGCAGAAGGGAGGAGTGGCCAGCACCGGGACATTTCCCGGTGGCCTGGCCTGCTCATGATTGTTGAGGAGCCCCTTCCTTTCTTTTTCTGAGGCTGTATGTCACTGCAGAGACACACAACAGGTGGGCACAACCTGTTGTGTGTCTCTGCTATGACATCACAGACAGACGCAGAAAAAGAAAGGAGGGGGTGGGGTCTGTCTTTTCCCATTGCTGCTGTGGGAGCTTAAGTGAGGCAGTTACCAGAGTGAGCGGCATAGATTGTTTATTTAAAATAGTCAAGTGTGACCCGAACCGAGACTTTAGTCCCCCTCGGCAATGACTGAGCAGGCCAGGCCACCAGGAAATGTCCTGGTGCTTCCTATGACCAGTCCGCCCTCAGTCCAACTGACTCAGTAACCATAGCATCAGTCTGTCTGCTCTTTCGCTATGCTCTTTTAGAGCGTTTAGAACATGGTTAAGAACATTGCAAGAGTGTGGGAAGGATTTATGAAGTCTTAAAATATATATAACTACTAAAATAAATATAAAGTCCCTACTTCGTGGATTTCCACCTATCGCATGGGTGTCTAGAACATAACCCCCATGATAGGTGAGGGACTACTGTATACAAAAAGGTCAATAACCCACTGTAAAACTTTGCTCAAAATCTACTATACAGCATTTACACCAACTATCCTAAAATCCTAGTCCAGAGGGTTCGCAAGTTCCTTGCACGAGATGCTTGGCTTCACTCTCGAGTGGCCGGAACTTTGAACAGATTTTTAAAATTCATTTGACATTTTACTCTCAAAACAGTCACAAAGTCATCATCGTTATTTTGAACCTTCTCAATAAAGTTGAGTTAGAAAGTGAAGCCAACTTTGGGAGGGTATGGTGACATATGAAATCAAACTAACTGAATGGAGCCAAGAAAGAGAATAAATTGAGATTAAACTGAGACACTGATGTGAGATTATGGGACTAAATTGCAACAACAACAAAAAATCAATTAGTTCACCAGAATGTAGCCATTTATTTGTTGTTATAGAAATATACAAGCTGTGTAGATACCAAATCAGTATGAAAATTTGTCTATTTGTATTTGTTATTCTACGTTTTTGCCTCAATGTAGATGCCATCAGGGATGAGTCACAGTTCTGGGAAATTAAGACTTAAATACAACATTGAGGTAGACAAAATGAAACCAAATATACACAGCAATGGTTCTCAAACTATTAAATGATCAGAAAGTACTAATTCCCACCATACTTTTATCAAGTATAGTACCTCCATTTTGACCGGGGATAAGTCTAAGTAGTACAGGCTTACATTTATATTTGACAAAAATGAGTGAACTGGCTAAATCCCATGTCTTGGTTGAAGACCAGTGTATTATGTGATGGTTCCTTGCATTCGTGGCTTAGACCATCACATCACACACTACGGTCTACAGTTTCTTATTCTCAGAAAAACTCAGTACAAATCTGAAATAATTTAAATCACATTTCTTCACTTTTTGTTGCAAGCAGTTCCAACAGAGACTTTTGTTGGTGGTTCTTCAGTTGCTACAGACACATTGGTTAATTATGATTCACACCGGTTTCTACAAGATTCTCAAAATCTTCACTGCAATTAATGTCTTTTTGTCCACTTTTGCTGGCTTTGCAGCACAGTTTAGATTGTGATAGTTAATTAGCTTATTATTTAACTTGTTGAGTTGGTGTCATTTATGATATTTCTGGGTACTGTCAGAGGAATACCACTTGTGTTATTTGTACCACAATTTGCCAACAAACTAAAGTGAAATGATAATTTGATGCTATATTTAAAAATTGTATTATTGTTGATATTCACATGAGAAGAGAGTTAAATGGAGGAATAACTCATTACGCCCAAAGCAGATAATGGATGTATGGACGGTTTTGTTGTCTACTGAATGCATAGACAGTAAGAAATGAATGTTTAGCCAGCTTATTGCCACCAGCTGGTTTGTTCTTGAAGCACTGAGCTGGACATTTTTACCATGGACTTTTTGCTTTATTAAAACCAAAAGGCCAGTTTCACTGAAACTACAAAATTTCATGGTAAAATGGTCACAAATTTTCAGTAACAATGAAGTCTTTCACTAAAACTTACGTAACTGATGAAAATTTACTTTAAATGAAGCTATATTTTACAAACCAAACATGAAGCTGTCAGAACATTTACAAGGTTTATTGGTTTCCTCTCAGAATTGTATACAATTATTCCTAATTTAATGGGCATGGGTGTTGTTTCTGTCAGTTAGAAAGAATGCAGGTTTGAAGCATTTCCACTGTGGTTTTATTTTTACGATCTCCCTCTATGGAAACGAGCCTTAAAGCAAATATTAGTTTACCACTTGTAGATAGCTTTTTGAACAACTTCAGCTGTTCGGTTTAATTCTGACCAGACTAACAAGCTAACAGCTCCGCTAAATGAAACCAAAACCAAAGTAGGTTGTTTTAAAACTGCAATCATCTTTTCGAAGCACTTCATGAAAACAATATTTTAAGTCTTTACACCGCCATCAGCTTTGCGATATATAGTTATTTACATTGAACTCTGTGGTTTTACAAGGACAAATAGCAGCAGCAGCTAGCTCTAGCCCTTCCATGCACAGTGTACTACAATATTTCTAACAGTGTAATGCTAATTTAAATGTGTCGTAAAAATTTAAAAATTATGTCCATCTGAACTTCTTAGGTGGCGCCAATCCACTTAGTTCTTGTCAAACTGTCAGCATGGCCACGATTACTGTACACTTTATGTTCAAACTCAGGTCTTTCAAAAGCCTACCTACACATAATCTTTACACAGAACCGCAGTGCAAAAGATCTGAACTATTGCTTCAAGCTCAGAGGACTTGTGATTGACATATTTTTGACTACACCAATAAATTAATATTTTTTCAGAGATTTTTCTGTTCAGGGTCGAAGGCTGAGGGGGGCTGGAGTTTATCTCAGTTGTCAACAAGAGGGATAGGTCCAAACAAACAATCTTGTCAAAGTGTTGGTTGTAATTATTAAATATCATATTTAAATGTTATTCATGTCACAATATATTTCATGCACGTCAGCACAGATCTCCCTCTGGTGTAATTCCTGCGATCAGATCAAACATTACACATCACTGCTGTCACTCCTGAGGTCTGCTCCGTTCAATAGAATGAAAACGTGAATCGAAGCAGACAGCAGGGTTGAACACTTCACTTTGCTCCTTTTGACTCCTTTGTCTCTTCTTTTGTTTCAACAAACCACTTCCCACCGTCTTTCCTCCTAACAGAGTCACCTCTGGCTTTCTCGTGACAGATAGTCAATAAACTAACAGCGTCCAGGAGGTTGAAGAACAAAGACGGTAAAGGTGTACCAGAAATAGTACAAGCTGTACTCTTCCTTCGGATGCGTTCAGGAACCGCTGAGTTACTTTGAAGTCATGTTTGTGTCACTCTCGAAAAGTCAGAAAGTGCACAAAATCTCACCGTCATTGAGCAAAATGCTGCGTGAAAAGTAATCAGGTCAAGGTAAAGATACGGCTGAGAGACAGCAACACAGACAACAAAAAGGACAACATGGAAAATATCAAGGAATAAACAAAAACGGGGTATGACAGGCAAAAGGAAACGAGAGGAACCAGATTCCAGATGGCTCGCTGAGAGCGAAGTGTGTGATGGAATTAAACCTGAGCTGTGCTATTTACAAGTGTTAGACGTAAAAATAAGCAGCTAACTAACCAGTCTGAGTCATTAACTACCAGGCCTCCAGTACGACTTGCTAGTGAAGGAGGAAATAGTCACCAAAAGGTATTGTGACACTCTTAAAACAACTCCAACTTAAAAAAAATGTCATAGTTTTCAAGCAAATGATCTTTACCTGGTTATCAGTTTCACATTATTGTAGTCCCTCACTTATCACGGGGGTTACGTTCCAGACACCCCCGCGATAAGTGAAAATCCACCAAGTAGGGACGTTATATTTATTTTAAGGCTTTATAAACCCTTCCCACACTCTTGCAATGTTCTTAACAATGTTCTAAGCACTTAAACCAATGTCATTTTAACAACATATGTACTGTACATTACTCCAAAATTTTATATGGGTACTCACCATTGAAGATCTACAACTTGAAGGATGAGTTCAACTTCAGGATTATTTACGACTTTCCTGCCAGTTCCGTGAGCTGAATAGATAGATTGTTACTAACGATTTTTACCACATCGGTTTCTCTAGTAGTGTTTGCGCCCTCCACTGTTGTTCTTTGAATTTCAGCAGAAAGCAGCAGCTGGAAGCGCTGTTGGCTTCTGGGTCGTGTAGTTCTTATGACTTGTGTTACAGTATAGGCTTATTGAAAGAAAACTACAAAAAGGAAGCGCCTGTTCAAAGTATTTTTTTGTTTGTTTTTATCCTATTGGTTGGTTCCTGCTCCCATCTATTTCCATTAACTTTTTATCCTGTACTGTCCCAATCACGTGAGCAATACTAAAGTTGACAATTGTGTCGTGTTTTAAGTTGAAAATTAGCAAAAGAGTGAGTCAATTCAATTCAATTCAATTCAATTCAAAAATACTTTATTAATCCCAAAGGGAAATTATTTTGTTGTTGTAACTCATTATCTTCATTAAGCGATGTTATAGATGCTGATGGCTGTAGACAGGAAGGATCTCTTGTAAAGGTCCATCCCACAGTGGATCCTAAGAAACTGGCTGCAGATGCCGTCAGATCCGTCCACCCAGACTCGGCTGGCCTTTTGGTTCCCCCGGTCTGTAGGACCACCAGAATGCCGGGCAGAACTCCTCCCAAAGCAATGGCCACTCCACCCAGCAGTCTGCCGAGCTCCTCGTCGCTGCGGACAGCTAGCTGCAGGTGCCTGGGGACGATCCTGTCCTTCTGCTGTCATGAGCCATGTTTCCTGCTAGTTCCAGGATCTCAGTGGTCAGGCACTCGAGCACAGCTGGCAGGTAGATGGGAATGCGTCTACAGAACATCCTTTCCAACTCATTTGAGATTTGGGGCTGTAGTTGAGATATTATTTGAGCTTTTGAGATGTTAATCAGCTGCTGTTGGTTGTATAAAACTGCCTTGTTGCCATGGTTACGCATCATAACAAATGTCCAAAACTTAAAAAGTTTCAGTAAAAATCCTTCCAGCTGCACAGCATCTGATACCAGAAGAAACAATCATCCAAAAATGTGATTTACATCCAGAAAAAGAGGAATTAAAGTTTCCAAAAGCAAAATCTCAGAATGGAAGTAACAGAGCTGCTCCAACATGCAGCCACCTTGAGCGGCGCAATTCTAGAACATGAATGGCCACGAATGTCGAATTGCCAAGTATCGAGGAACTACTGTATATGATTATAACAGAGGCAGCTGGCAGTAGCACTTCCAGTCCTGCCTGAGGATCTTATGGCAAAAATATGATATTCTTTCAGGAATAATCAGGTAATGTGAAACTGACAGTATATAAATGTGTCTAAAGTTGCTTTAGCTTAAACCACTGGAATTTTTGAGATTAGAGTCATTTTAGGGAAGTAGCTATTCATTTTAGTCTCGACCACACTCGGATTAGCCATTAGCTTATTAATATAATTCCCTTTAAACTCTAGTTTCTTCAAGCCAAGGTCATTCACAAAGCTATGCACAAATAAACATTTTTAATAACCCTAAGCTAGTCCTGCACCGTTTATGAATAGCATCTGCATGGGAGTTTCCAAAATATTTCATTCACGTGTTCTCATTTTTCTGTGTGTACAGGGCTTTGCTCTTGTGTCATGGAATTCTAAACATGTTCTAAAAATTTGCAAGTTAAATATTATCTCAAAATAGTCACAAAGTTGTTGCAGGCACCTGGAACCCTTCTCATTTTAGCTGCTATAATTCTAGGGCTCTAGTTTTATGTAATTAAATAAACATACTTTCAATAAACCCCCAGTGTCTTTCAATGCAGGTGAATAACGTCTCACAATTTTATGTGCCCGACTAGTCCCTACACAGCACAGCTCAGTGAGAAACTATCTTTAGAATACCACTTCGAAGTTAAAGCTCTAAGCTGTACTTTTATTTGCTGGAAGTTTGTATACTGACATAAAAGTATAGCTAGGAAAGTACAGCTTAGACAAACTTACCTCGGGGGCAATTTTGAAACTTCCCCTCACTAAAAAAAAAAGTGCTGATGTGAAAGGTCTCAATTGGAAGCAACCACCAACATATTTTACAAAAGAAGGTGCGTGGAAAAACAAATCTATTTATGGGTTAATCCAAGCACAAAAACACCTTTAAAAATGTGCAAGCACACCTGAAAAAAAATCTACCTGAATACCAGAAAATCTTTAGGAAGAGCATTTTTGGCTTTTTTCATGAAAAGCCAAACATTTCTACAATGTCCATAAGTTGTGCACCAAAACCATTCTCAAGCAGGCTAACGTCGAATAGCTGCAGCGTCTGTCTTATGGTGAGTTGACTCCAAGCGTTCATCTGCTGTAGATAAGGATTTATTGATTATTTTCTAAATGTGGCAGCCTTTAACATTAAAAAGGGGTTTGGTTTTAGATGCTGCTCCTTTAAAGGGATCATGCTTGCACATATTGATTGGCCTTTATGCGTTATTTCTTTATTCTACTACATAAATGTTGTTTGAGATACATGAAAACTCCAAATTACTTTAAAAATATAGCTTTATCGCATTTTTTTCACCTAAGGATGCGGCCATTATTTTACCAGCGCAATGCATTCTGGGGCGATGATGTAAATTGGTGGAGACTAAAACGCAAAAAGTCAAGGATAAAAAGTTATAACGTGACAATAAATTCATATTTTGGATTAATCTTTATGCACAATATCAAAACTATCAAACGTGATCATCTTCCATCCATCCACCCGCTTGTTCCATTTTGGGTCACGGGGGTCGCTGGCGCCCATGTCCAGCAATCACTGTGCGAGGGGCGGGGTACACCCTGGACGGGTCTCCAGTCCATCACAGGGACACATAGAGACAAACGAGACAAACAAACATTCACTCTCTCACTCACACCTAGGGACAGTTTAGAGTTACCAATTAGCCTAACATGCATGTTTTTGGTCTGTGGGAGGAACCGGAGTACCCGGGGAAAACCCATGCACGCACGGAGAGAACATAAAATCTCCACCCAGAAAAGTCCCAGACCAGGATTTGAACTGGTGAACTTTTCGTTGAGAGGCAACAGCTCTACCAACTGAGCCACCGTACCAACCCTGCTCTGGAGCGAACGCATTAAATAAACTGTATGTGTGTTCTGGAGCTAATGCTATTAGTTCAAGTTCAAGGTTCTTTATTGTCATTCACATCACATTTGGTACATGAGGTGGAACAAAATTGTGTACTCAAGGTCCCAGTTTCATCCAAAAAATAGCAAAATTATAAAGTATAAAAAGAAACAGTATATAAGGATTTAAGATAGCCTTTGCTAAACGAACGCTAAACGATACGCTACAATATCTAAGACAGATGCTAAACACTAATAATGTAAAATAACAAGGTATATTAAACAACAGCCCGAACATGAGTCTATAGTGAGCAGATGGGTATGAACAGCCAGCAGCATAAAAGGCAAGATGTCAGCATGGATAATCAGCAACACAAGTCACATATCACCAATTAAAGCGGCGTTAAAGTGATTTTTTTTTCTACAGTGGTTATCCTGGTTAGGGATTTATTAGTCTAACAGCTTTAGGGTAGAAGCTGTTCCTCAGTCGAGTGGTTCGACACTTAAGCTATTAGCTCCGGAGCTAATGTCAAGCTCTGGAGCTAACGTGAAAGCGGAGTAATTTCTCCATTTTCCTCTCGGACAAAACAGACTCTGGTTCAAATTAAAGGGCTGGATGTCAGATAATGTTCACAGTTAACATTCAAGCTGAGTGGTGCTCCCACCTGTCTACAATATATCCAGAATACATTCCAATAACAGAATGGCGATGTCTACGTATCACGATTATTTTTGATTCATTATAAAAACTAAACAGCCTATTTTTACAGCCTTGTATTTACAGTTCAAGTGATTGTATTGTTCCAACTAGTCGGAGATCTCGTTAAGGCCCGAGCTGCCTCAGTTGTTGCTGCTCGCCAAACTGATCGAGCTCAAAACACATTTTTGTGGTGACACAAAACACGGTCAAATTGAAGGTTGGCTACGTTAAATCCATGTAAACGATTTGGATTCTATTAAAAACGATAATCCCTGTTGCATTCTGTTACAGATGTTCTAATTAAGTGCTTGAATTTGGTCTTTTCAAAGAACATAATAGAGGTTTCCCCTTCGGCAGCACGGTGTACAGACAGCAAAGGTAAAAAGAATAAAAAATAAAGACACAACACGACAGAACAGGTAGAGCAGCACAGTTATGATCTGCCTGGGGCTAATGGTTTAATGAGACAAACTGGTGGAGAGTGGTGGCCTCATCCGTCGTTCAGTGGTTTTCAGAAGGCAGGTTCCTGCTTGGATAAAGCTTACAGGTGACGTGCAGGGCGTGTTTTACCTGTCAGTGTCACACCTGGCTGACAGGCGGTACGACCCGGGGCATGTCACTAAAACTCTCACTACCAGGGAGAGCTGTGCTGTCAGGGATGGCAGACAGGACGCTCTGCCTGGCTGCAGCTGCTCTAACCTGAAATGTGTTTGAACAGCTTGGACACGTTCAGGAGATGAGCGTCTCCTGTAGCGGGATTTAATAGTGTTTTTTTTTTTTTTTTTTTTTTTTTTTTTGGCGGCGTCTCCAGGATCCAAATAATGGCTTTATCCCAGATTCAGTGTCTGGATGACAACCACGTCAACCCGCGGACGCACGAGTCCAAACCGGAGTTCCTCTACTGCGAGGAGCAGCGGCTCGCGCTCGAGGCGCTCCTGCGAGATGGTCGCGAGGCGTTCGCCAAGTTCCTGGAAGCGCGCGGCCTACGGGGTTTCCTGTCGGACCTGGAGCGGGAGACCCTCACCGCGGCGGCTGAACCTTTTGACCCGGACTCGGAGGTTCTCCCGAGGGACGCGGACGACGAGCGCACGCCGCTGTCGCTGCAGTACTGGCCGGAGCTCTCGGACACGTCCGTCCCGCAGCTGGACCTGGGCTGGCCGGACTGCGACTCGTACAGAGGCGTGACGCGGACCTCCGTGTACTCGCAGCCTCCGCTGGAAGGTCAGGTCCACATCAAAGAGGTGGTCCGAAAGATGATTGCGCAGGCGCAAAAGGTGAGCCCTTTGATCTTCTAAATAGTTTCTGGCTTCACCGCTCAGATTGTTGTCACGTGCTGAACTTTAGACTAAAAAGTTTTGGGATTTCCCCCCAACATTTATGTATTGTTTATTATTAAAGGGGTAGTTCAGATGTTTAGAAGTAATGTTCTGTGAAAAGGTTATGAACAATTATTATCTAACCTATTGCAGATAGCTTTTCGAGCAGCCTCAGTTTGGGAAAACGTTTAGCAACACCTAAAAATGTCATGGGCAGCACGGTGGCACAACTGGTACAGCTGCTGCCTGTCAGCAAGTAGGTCACCATGGTTCAAATCCCGGTCAGTGGGTCTTTCTGCGTGGAGTTTGCATGTTCTCTCCGTGCATGCGTGGGTTTTCTCCGGGTACCACGGTTTCCTCCCACAGACCAAAAACATGCATGTTAGGCTGATTGGTAACTCTAAATTGTCCCTAGGTGTGAGTGAGAGAGTGAATGGTTGTTTGTCTCGTTTGTCTCTGTGTGTCCCTGTGATGGACTGGAGACCTGTTCAGGGTGTCCTCCACCTCTCGCACAGTGATGGCTGAACATGGGCACCAGTTACCCCCGTGACCCAAAATGGAAGGAGTGGGTAAAAAATAATGGATAGATGGATGATTTTAAAAAGTTGTTGTTTTTTTGTTTGTTTGTTTGTGTGTGTGTGTGTGTGTTTACAGTATATATATGTCTGACTCAACCTTGTTAGATTTATCTACCTGGACCATACAGCATGCATCAGGACATTAAGTATACAGTACATGCAGTTTGCACATGAGGTGCTACAGCTAACTGCTGCTGCCACTATTTGCATTTGTACAAATTCTTCGTAAATAACCATGTATTGCAAAGTTGATGGTTACGTGAAGGTTTATAAAATAGTGTCCACATTCTAAAACTGTTAAAAGACAGCAGTCTGTTTTGCTGTGCCCTGACTCGTCAATCCTCTAAAAATATCCCATAGAAAACCACTGGTATTGCATTAGGGGCTGTGTTTACATTAGTTGGCCTTGTCATCTTGTTTACTCACTCATTCCCTAGTTTTATATGTTTCATTTCAAGCATGATAGAAATAAAAGGACAAAACAAGCAAAAATAATAATTATAAAGTAATAATAAATAGTGGAAATTAAAATTATTTACAACAGAACAGCTTCAGGTATGTTTGAAACAAGTATAGGAGGAAATACAGTATAAACATTAAATTATACATGATCAGAATCAGAATAAGCTTTATTATCATTGTACAGTGAAATTATTATTATTGTGTTTTTATCAACACTGTTTCATCATAATAGCGTATTTATGACTACCTATTATAAAAGTTTAATAATTTTTTAACTATGTCACATGATGTTACATGAAACAATCGATCTGATCTTGTTTTCACACGAACATATAGAAACATTTTACACACACATACAACAGATACAGTATACGTATATACACACACACACACACACACACGTCTGTTTGAATGTAATGTGTTTAAATCTTTTTTAAAACTTGAAATATGTTTGGACTTTCCTGTGTATTTCCATCTAAAACCAGTTTTTGTATATGTACAAATAAAATGTTGTGTCTTACTTTATACATGCTGTTTTTATATTTAACCAGATCAATAAATATTAGAGCGTTTTAACTCGTGGAATAACATGTTTGTATGTTCAAGAATATGAGTTGATCAATTACTGCTCTTTTGTTATAAGTTTATAAAATGTTCAAAGTGCTGTTCTCTGAGTGTCGCCCCACACCTCCACACAGACATCCAGATATGATACGAGTGAGAAACACAAGATTTAAAAAAAATATTTATAATTCTGAAATTAAGCTGTATATATTTTCTATGGTTTCCAACTGATTTTGTGATCTATACTTAACCTCCCTTTCTATAATTATGTTAGTTACTTTCAAGTTTACTTCAGTATTTTTTACCACAGTTTCCAAAATCTTTTTTTGTTTTTGGTCATTTAATAATATAAACAGACACTGTCAAAAAGAAAGTAGTATAAAGCATGACAAGTTATCAAAATGGGCTGTTATCCTCAAAGGATGTCTTTTAAATGGTTTGGATCTTTAACATCTGGACCATCAGCTGGTAATGTAATATTCAGATAATTACGCTGCGGTGTGACGCCACTCGAGCCTACACCACTATAGCTCTCTAAACTCACAGTGCTATCTACAACAGGTAAGATATTTGTTGTTTAAAAGCTTTCCACAGAACCCAGCTTCTAAAGATGCTAACTGTCCCTTTATTGTTGTTTATTATACCATTCTGGTAACATTGAAGTGCTCAGGTGAGTTCATGTTCTTCCTGTCTGGTACCAGTCGTATAAGAAACTTTTCAGAGTATTTTCAAAAAACTATACAAGTTGTAAGTTGAAGGCGAGCAGCTCTCAGTCTTTATAATAAAGTTCAGAGATCACCACGGACCAAAGGAGACGATCAAGGGCAAAGTGCAACTTGATTAAGCTGCGCCTCGCTGTAACCGTGCAGCATGTGCGTTATGCTGAATATTTGCATAGCTCTGCGCGGTGTACTGCCAGGCTGTGTGCGTATCATTGTGTGCCTGCGTCTGTTCAGGCACCTGACTCATCTGAGGCCACAAGTTTATGACATGTTTTATTTTGTGACAAAGTATTTGACTGAAACATTCCTGGATCGTTTTACTGAAAGATAATGAGTCATATAAGTGGAGAACGCTCGTGAACTCGCACGGCAACAGGTTCACCGTAATCAAATCTTCAGCTCAGCCCGATAACTTTGTGGGAAAAGTATCAGTCAGGAACATCTAAAGAACTGCACACCTTTAGAGCTCGCCACGCCATGATGCTCGAGTCTAATGACGCCATGTGTTTCCAGGTGATCGCAGTGGTGATGGACGTCTTCACAGACGTCGACATCTTCAGGGATTTGTTAGATGCTGGTTTTAAAAGGAAGGTGTCTGTTTACATCCTGCTGGAACGCACAACGCTACCTCATTTCCTGTCCATGTGTCAGAGGGCCGGCATGCACGCTGGCCACCTCAAGGTAAGCCGCTGTCATCCGTCCCACACGTCTAATTAAAGTCTGCTATGAAACGACTAACTCGTTAAAGGCTCAACGTTCCTTAATGTAATGCAAACTGTCTGCTGCCCTTTAAACCAGAGTGTTAACCAAAGATTATCTTATAATGAGAAGAAATGGAGTTGTAGCCGTTTGGTCAAACCTTGTACGTGTGATTCTGGGAGATCTGTTCTTACTTTGAGTTGGTTGAAGATGACACTCAGCTACTATGACATCAAACTTGAGCTCAATATCTATAAATCTGACAGCGTTTAGACACTTTTATGTCGACTAAGTTCAGTCAGCTTTAGCAACCCTTATGATCAGGACTGACTCCAAAAGTTAATGAGCTGTAGATGTAAATTCAGTCCAACAGAGCAGCCAAAAACAGTCTTTGAGGTTATGCAGCTTGAAAAACGTAGAAGTTATGGAACATTTTTGTCATGTTACAACGTGTAAAGGTAAATTAGGTGGAAAATACAGCTGTGACATAAGCTTCCTAATCAAACCTAATTGTTTTGACATGACTTGTAAATGATCTTTTTGTATTTTGTAATTCCTGCCTGATAGTGTTTCTACTGAACACGGCGGCGCTCGGAGTGCTTGACCCATTTTGTTTAAAACATGTGTCAAACTCAAGGCCTGGGGGCCAAATGTGGCCCTCGTTGACATCTTATCTGGCCCCCAAGATGTTATTTTAAATGTAAAATACTTTTATCACTTTAATTCTTTCAGTAATCTTTGATTATGACGTCAAAAGTGCAACAGAGAACATCAAATGAGACCAGTCAAACTCTTGTTGAGGAACCAGCAACCAAGAAAAGATGTTGGATATCTAAGTTGAGTTTATGTGGATTCTGAAACCGGCCCTTAATTTGAAAAAGGTTTTAATTTTGGCCCCCTTTTGTAAGTGAGTTTGACACCCCTGGTTTAAAACAACTCATATGCTTTTGACTTGTTTGGTGGCTTGGAGCAGTATGTGACAGAACAAAAGCAATAGGCTGACGACACGCTCAAGCTTCAGAAGTTTGCAGCTAATTATCTGCTTTTAACAGATGCACATGCCAAAAAAAAGAAAAGAAAAAAAGAAAAACCACCTGGTTTTGTCAGCGCATGTCAAACACAGAGCTTCAAATCTTTTAGGTGTGACCACGCACGCAGCCCTTAAAACAAGTTCAGGTAGGTTGTTTTACCCATAAAGACGATTTCCAACGTTGGTAAAAGTTCTTTCAAGGTGATTTTGAATTTTCTGTCACAGCTACAATTAGTCTTTAACTCACACTAAGTGCACCATACTCCATATGTACATCAATCCATCTTCTTTTTTTTATTTGTGGTCAAGTCATGGTGCCATCAGGTCCAGGACAGAAACCCAATCTTTTCTCCAGCCATACTCTCTCACTCCTCCTGGTGGATCACGAGATGTTCCCAAGTCAGAGAGAAATATGTTGCATGCCAATGTCCCCTATTGCTGGATGTTTTAAAGAGTGAATCTTGTAATTTTTGAGATACAGTAACTGTTTCTCTATGTTGGAAATGAACAGAGAATGCAAGTGGTGCAAGATATTTACATGGATAGGAGATACACTGTGTATAAGAATAGAGGTACAGTAGTCCCTCATTTATCTCAGGGGTTGAAAGCCCGCGAAGTAGGGATGTTTTATTTATTATATATATTTTAAAGCTTTGTAAACCCTTCCCACACTCTTGCAATGTTTGTAACAATTTTCTAAACTCTCTAAACGCTCTAAAAGAGCACAGGAAAAGAGAGCAGACAGACTGATGCTACAGTTACTGAGCCCCAGGGGCGGGCTGGCCATCAGGAGCACTGTTCCTATACATGACGCTCGTACGGCTCACTCAGGTATAAGACAGACCACCCCCACCCCCTCCTTTCTTTTTCTCTACTGTGATAGACAGCCCTAGAAAGAGAAAGGAGAGGGACAGGGGTCTCTCTTACACCTGAATGAGCCGTACTTAACCGCGCTCAGCCTCTCTCTTTCTCTTTAAACTGATTCACTCTTATTTTTCCACTTAAGCATTTTCTCAGATATTCTACATTTGTTCATCTGATCTGTTCATCCCTGCTTCCTGAGCAGTAGCGATGGGGAAAGACCCCACCCCCTCCTTTCTCTTTCTGAGGCTGTCTGTCACAGCAGTGAAAGAGAAAAGAGGGTGTGGGGTCTGTCTTTCCCAATCATCAGTTGTGTGTCGTGTACAATCTTACACTGAAAATCCGCAAAAGAGTGAGTCCGCGAAAGTTGAGCTGCGAAGTATCGAGGGACCACTGTAGTTCTTTTTTTGTTGTTTTGCTTGTTGAAGGCAGAGCAAAGAGCCAGATCCTGGCGAGTGGAGAGAGCAATTTATCCACCACCAGGTGCAGTTGCAGAGCCAGGGGATGGCCAGTGATGGCCTTGGCCACCCCAATCATTTGAGAAAACTATACTTTTAAGCAATATAAAAACTAGAAAGCTTAGTTTCCTCAAATGATTGGGGTGGTCAGTTTACACATATTTGATGGTGGCCATCTTGGATTTTGATGTAGCAACCCCATTTTTGTAGCTATCTTTCTTATGCCTAGATGCAGCCATATAACAAAATGGAAGACATCATGTTGCTTATTTTTAAATCTATCAAACTCACAAGGGGCGGCACAGTGGCGCAGTTGGTAGAGCTGCCACCTCTCAGTGAGAAGGTTGCTGGACCGAATCCCAGCCAGGGACCTTTCTGGGTGGAGTTTGCATGTTCTCTCTGCGCATGCATGGGTTTTGTCCGGGGACACCGGTTTCCTCCCACAGACCAAAAACATACATGTTAGACTGATTGGTAACTCTAAATTGTCCCTAGGTGTGAGTGAGAGAGAGAATGAGTTTGTCTCGTCTGTGTCCCTGTGATGGACTGGAGACCTGTCCAGGGTGTCCCTCGCCTCTCGCACTGTGACTGCTGGACATGGGCACCAGTGAACCCTCATGACCCCAAACGAAGAAGCGGGCAAATAAAATAGATGGATGAAGCCCACAAGGTTTACTAAATATATGGTGGTAACCGTCTTGAATTTTGAAGCGGCAACTCAATTTTTGATAAGAAACTTTTTTACGCGTAAATGCAGTCACACACCAAAATGGAAGTCAGTACCTCACTTATTTTTCAAGTTTATGAATAAAGTGCTACGTATGTGTTGTCATCATTGTATGTTTCCATACAAAGATGAAATTGGTTCTCTGCATTTAGCCCATTGCACCTGGGATGCACCCAGGTGGGGCGGTGGGCAGCTATGTAAGCTACCCGGGGAGCAATTTGGGATTGGATGTCCTGCTCAGAGACACCACGAGATGTGCAGTGACCGGGGATCGAACCCAGGACCTTCGGGTCTTGGGTTGGCTGCCCTGCCACTACACCATCTCGACCCCTATTGTCATTGACCCCCTAAGTTATCATGCTAACAACACGGATGGACAAATGGAAGAATGGGACAGATGTTATTTCCACTCCCTTCTTTTCACTCTGTGACAGAGGACAATAATATAAAGCTGCAGATAGTTCTCTGTCTAACCTGGTTAGACCTGCACCATATTAGAAAAACCTTGTGATGTGCAATATTATTGTTAATATTGCAATGATGATATCAATCACAACAACTTCTAATTTTCCTTTCTCCTCACTTTCATTTCTGTCATCACTCTCTTTTAATCCAGAAGTTAGCATGGAGGCCAGTGAGAGTATATTGGACTTAATAAATATATTGTATATTGTAACATGTATTCTCCATCAGGCTCCAACGTAATTAAATTGCAAATCCGAAGGTGGTCCGAAAATGTACATTATACAGATTTAAGAATATACAGTATATACAAATGTTAAAGATAAACAAGATCAAAAATGCATAAACTCCTTCATTGTTGATTGAGGCTTAACAGATTCAGAGTACCATCTGGGTCCAGATTCTAAGAAAACATCAGTTAATGCCACAGTGTCTTTTGACAGTTTGTGGTTTATAATCATAAGCGTGTGTCTGTATTACATATGACATAAGGAAAGGGTCTGTGTTAAGATGAGAAAGTCTCCCATCATCATTTCTTCCATTATGTAAAAATAAGAAGCATTTCCCTTTCTGCTGTTTCTCTGTGGGATGTCTCAGCTCTGATTTAATGCGAGCTGCCGACTGCAGTCCTGCCCACAGTAATACATCTGCACAGTCTGCATTTCGCCTGAAGTTGTCCTACTTTTAAATTAGTCAAATATCAGATAGCCGAGTGGATCTACTGTATGTTAGTAAACAGCCGTCTGTATCACCGCCGTATAATTTTCAAAAGTTTAACCAAACCATGCCAATGGAAAATAAAGTGGTTTGTCCATCCGTTTTGATTGACATAGTAACTCAGAGTGACAGTTCATTGAGAGATAGTGAGAATGATTAATTAAAATGGCCTGTTTAGTTCATTTACACAGAAATACAGCCTGTATTTAGTGGCACATGGCGAAGCGTGCATGTACCCAGCATACAAATATCCATTCCTTGGTCATGTGCCAAATATTTAATTTCTTGTATGTTTTCCCTGGAGGGCACTGGAGGGTTTAGCTGTGTCTCGTACAGTGCTCTGCTGCTCTGAATTATTAGGGAGCAGCATCTGGAGCAGAGCCAGTTCTGTCAAAGGAAATTGTATAAATTGCATTTTTACTAGGGGGTGTAACATGACACTTTTCTCACAAAAATGAGATTTTAAGATGTTTTAAGGGAAAAAACATTTTCCTACAAACTTAACTGAGCTCTCTCCTGTCTGATTTCTCATGTGTCTCTTCAGACGTTAGAAGAGAGGCAAACTCATTTTTGCAAAGAGTCGAAATTAAAAACCTGATTGGATCAACCTTTATGTTTTATTATTTTCTTACAAAAATATCACATTTAATGATGTTTTTAGACTAAAAAACATTTTTTTTATTATCCTCCCCCTCCTCCTTTTTCTTGGTTTATTATGAAATCATTATACCAAGGGTCATTCATTATCTGCACGCTTCTTCCTTTCTGGTTTGCGGCTATATTTCCAACAGTCCCAGTGTGAGGTGGGGAACACCCTGGACAGGCCACAAGTCCATCACAGGGACACATAAAGACAAACAAGACACACAACTAATCACACCTGTTAACCTAAAATGAAGAATTTAGGTCTGTGGGAGGAAATTGGAGTACCTGAAGAAAACCCACGCATGCACGGAGAGAACATGCAAACTCCACCCAGAGAGGCCCCAGGCCAGCATTCAATCCCGCAACCGTCTCACCGAGAGACGTCAAAAGCTAAACACACAAACAAAAACTTTATGAACAGTCAAACAACTGCTCACATTTCATCTTAAAAATATAGAAGAAAAAAACAAAAAGATACTACAGATAAATTAAATTCTGGCAGACGCTCTGTAGCTGTGATGAGAGTCTGATCATGAAAACTAAGGCCAGATTAAAGTGGACATTAAAAAAACATGTTTTTTTGTAATTTTCATCACAGAGATAAGTTGCTCACACTGACCTGGAAGTGGGGGAGAACTAAGTAAACTATTTTATTTTTAGTTTGATCTTATTTTTTCCACTCAGTAGATTAACGAGAGGTTCAGACTAGGGGTTGAACGACTACATAATTTTTAAACTCGACATTAACATATTAAAACTCGAGTAGAACTCGAGTAGTTGATGACGTCATAGGATCTCAAGATGCAAAAAAAATAAATAAATAAAACCGCAAAAAAAAACGTAATTTATTATTTACACACAAAAAAAAAGACCAACAAAACATCAGGAGCATATATTATGCTCCTACCATTTATCATACTGCAAATAAGTCACAGGAAAACCAAAACTATTAATTGTTATTATTAAGCTGCAGAAGTGAAAGAAACGTGTGGCACGTGAAAAACGAAACTTAAAAACAGTGGGGCGGTTGAGCACCTCGCACCACCGCCAGCTGTGGTGCGCATTAGGGTTAGTTTTAGAGATTAATATGTTTATAGTTTTTTTTTATAGGTTTAGAGATGAATATTTTTTGCTTTTAGTTTGTGAAACAAAGTCAGAAGGAAGCTGGTACTGGCTCGGTCGAATGGACCCGGCGTTACACCATATTCTGTGACCTGCAACAGTGCATGCAACACCGCCCCCTATGGTCACAATATACGGTGGTCACAGAATATGGTGTAACACCAGTTCGCAACGAGCTCCAAACAGTCAGGAAGTTGGTTCATTTTCTGTTTCCTTACGGTAGTTGAACCGGAAGATTCATTTTTAGTGAAATATTTCCATACTACTGATGCATTTCTACCTGTTTGCCAAGACTGATCCTGCTCCGCGCCATCCGTCTGCTGGGAGGAATCCATTTTGTAGCCTCTACCAGTAGCCCAGTGTGGATCATGTGACACGTGACGCAATGACGTAACAGCGACGTAATGACGTCACTACGAATACTCGACATGAAATTTAAAAACTCAATAGATGTCCTAGGAATCGACCTGTCGATTTCTCGAGTAGTCTGTTAAAGCCCTAGTTCAGACGTTATTTTTGTCTCTTCAAAATCAAGTAACTACTGTGTGACATCTGCGTTAGGTCTGCGCTTTTTGAAATAATTCACTCTTCCTCTCAGTACGTAGCTACAGAAGCTGCTCGAGTGATATGGTGGCACTGGTCTGAGTGCCTATGTTTGTTTAAACTGTTGTCACAGAGATTATTTAAATGGGAAGGAACATCTTTTGTAAGAATTTAACCAAATAAAGTCACAGGACAAGATTTCTTTTAGGTGAGACGTAGGCCTGTCGCGATAAACAATAAATCAGTCGACATTTTCATTTATCGGCTTTATCGTTTCTTCGTGTCTCTCTCTTTCTACTGAAGACACTGGATGACAAAAGGCTCAACTCCGGTGCTCTTCACTGATCCCTCCTTTCTTTTTTCTTTTTTCTTTAAAATCCGTTTTAATTGTCCAAAATCACATTTTTGGATCATTAAAAGCAGCTAAAATGAGAAGCTAAGTTAACAGGCCGACCTCAGGAAAAAACCTCCGTCTTGTTGAAGCTCTAAAATTCACAGTTGAAACCCGTGCCTTCATGTAAAAAGGTTGTTTTTCTCTGAAAAAGAATTATTTTTTTTAATTAAAAGCTTTGTGTAACAAATGCTATGTTAAGAGCTCAAACCACACAGAGCATCAGCCATTTTGAGAACCGAAAAAAGGAAAGTGAAACAGCCCGTGTCACGTCAAGGGGCCTCCCTCCCATTTTTCTTAAAGAGACACGCTGCTCGCACCCTCACTATCCATCATTTGGTTCAAGTGGTCTTATACTTCCATCCAGTGGTCAAAAAAGGTACTACTTACAAAATTAACCAAAATTTATTTTGAAAATTGACAATAATTACTAATTATTGTCAAATTTCAAACAATATTATTGTTTATCACAATAATTTCTGAGACAATTAATCGCCCAGTAAATTTGTTATCGTGACAGGCCTAGTGAGACGTTCACAAGGTAGTTTTCAACTGGATGATGAATCTCATCACGTTTTAGTCTTGAAAGACCTTGTTAAACCTCTATTTTTCTGATATATATTTTTTTCATTCAACCTTTATTTATACAGGTTAGTCTCACTGAGTTACGAGGACTCATTTTCAAGAGAGACTTGTTTTAGACAGACAACATATAAAGTACAGGCAACAATAATTCAACAACAACAAATTAAAATAAAAAAAGAAGTTATAAACACAATCAAATCATGATGCCATATAAAACAAGGTAAAATACTAGAAACAAGAACGTATTTGCTTTGATATGTCTATTGACACTATCAAATGTTTAAAATCCCTAAAAGAAATCAAAACTGATAGTTTCATTGATATTATCGGTTCTGTATATTCTGTATACAGATGTGCACACCTGTGGCAGCTCAGAGCTTTTGTCCAAGGGGCAACTGTAGAGCATTAATGAGCAGCCAAAAGCCAAATATTCAAATGTGATAAGTCTGTAGGAAAGCTGTGACTGAATGAGAAGATGGCTGGCTGATAAAGGAAGACAAGTGCGACAGATTGAGATTTTGCTGCAAACTGGAAGTTAGTGGAAGGGAGGATTAACAGTATGGGAGCAGGAGCAGATGAGTTGACATTCAAAGAAGAGAAAGAAGAACGTTGCACTCCAGCAAGCTAAAAACTACAGACCCTTTCTGTATCACGGTTGTCCGAGGAAGTTTCTAAATGTTTGCAATCTCCAAACGAGACCCTTCAAGTTTCCAGTATTTGTTTAGATATTTTAACAAAAAATGCACATCCCACATTGTCTCAGCTGGTTTAGGATGTCTTATTGACATTTCCAATGAGAAACATAGACAAGTGAAAGTTAGTTCAAAGCTAAACACACACAGATGAGCAGTTTGTTGATTTATCTAATCTGCTAACCAAAAGATAACACTGACAGAAAGAGAAAGTTAAGGGTGTGACCAAAGTATGAAGTGCAAGTGTCTTGGCTGTAAAACGAGCTGCGCCAGTATAATTTCTACAGCTATAAAACAAGTTGTTTCACAATACTGTAGACACATCCCAGCAGTTTCTCTGTAAGACTGCACACACAGTTAAATCTAACGATCCTAGCAACTGTGAACTTTTCCCTCAAAACGCTGTCTTTAAAAAAGGCAGCTCATAAGATCAAGGATGACAAATGACATCAAATTCTGCAAACACATTTCCCTTTTTCTGACTGAGTTCCAGGTAGTTGGGAGGAAAAGTAACAAGCTTAAAAATATACTTCTAAGTTTATGAACAAAGTCTGCAGGAATGTCAGAGCTCTACTTCAGCTGCCAAAACAAAACAAACAAAAAAATAAAACCAGACAGAGTAGCAACTGGAAAAGTACTGATGTTCTGTTGTACATGTCAGTTTATTTAAAAACACTCCATGTTTTTCACACATGACCTTATTTTATGGCTACAAAAATGAACATACATGTAGCTCTTGCAAAAAAACAAGCCGACATTGAAAAATCAGCTGAAAAAAGCAACGTTGGTGAATGTGTCGTCCATAGACACTGCTGGCTTGTTAATTCATCAGCTGCAAAAACAGCTTCAATAACCTCACCCTGACATTATTCCTTGGTGGTTTCACACCCTTGTACCACACAAATGTATTTAAAGTGTGTGAAAAGGAATATATTGTGTGCTTTTGACAAGGTTTTTTTATACCAACATTTGTGTGTGTGTTGTAGCATCTTCGTGTCAGCTGCACCGGAGGCGCTGAGTTTTACACTCGGCAGTGCATTAAAGTCACGGGGCGAATGGGCCACAGATTCATGTTCATCGATGGCGACAAAGCTGTTTCTGGGTCATACAGGTCAGTGTACATTTTATGGTGTTCAGGTGTAAGGACACAACTGTAGAAGAAAATCAGGAGACTAAAATAGACACATTACCTTTACGCTCCAGCTGTATGTGCTTTGAGATTGGAGAGGTACTGCGCTGCAAAAATAAACAGGTTTTCTTGTTAATGCGAAATTTAAGTAACATCATAAAAGAAAAATAAGTTTCAGTCTACAATAAACAGGATAAACTAGGAGGAAGGTATTGAAGGACAAATTAATTCAATTTCATTGAATTTATTTATATTGTGCACATTTATAACAAAAGCCATGTCAGGGCATTGTCCAAAGACAATCGTGCAAACATACTCTGTAAATAGTTCTGCATTCCATACAAAAGATGTATTTGAGTCTGTTGACACAAACGTCTTATTACGTCTCCCTGGAGGAATTCTTGGCTTTTCGTGTATGAAATATTTTAACCTTTTGTTGTCATTGACCAAGTCTAACTTTGTATTTGCTTCTGCTTTTAGTTTTACCTGGATGGCTTCACGGCTGGATAGAAATCTTATCACTGTGACTACGGGCCAGGCTGTGGATGCATTTGACCAACTGTTTCGCTTCCTGTACTTGACGTCCAGGGCTGTTGACCTCCGAAAAGTTGCAACAGAGCCTGAGCCTGAGCCAGACTCTCGGCCCCAGGTTGCCTCTGTGGTAGCTCCTTCTGCTGCTGTTGCTAGAAAATTGCACAACCCTAAATACGCCTTGGTTGCTTTAACCAACCCCAGCCCCGCCACCTCAGCCGGCAATGATAACCCTAAAGAGCCCAAAACTTCAGAGATGTCCAAAAAGAAGGAGCAACGAAGGCTGAGTGTGGATACTCCTCTCCTTCACCCAGGACTAATTCATCTAGAAAAAGCCTACTTAATCCCATACCTTCCCACCTGGCCAGAACCTGACCCCCCAAGCGATGTAATAGGGTTCATTAACATTCGGGATGCTAACAAATGTACACAAGTCCATCTGCAACGATCTGAGAGGTTTGAAATCAGCCAAGCAATCAAGTTTAGCAGCCCGCTCAGCAAGCCACAGCAACCTTTGCCAGAAGTTGCAACTCCTAGACTTAAACATGACGAAATTAATAAACTCCCACCAGCACAAAATGAACTCAAAGCTAAGGAGCTGGTGGTCAATACTACAGTTACTGGTCAAAGCAAAAGTGAAGACAAGACATCTAAACAAACATCACCTCCATGTAGTCAAAAGTCTGTACTTCACGAGGACAAAACTATGTCTCTAAAGGATGAGAATAAACTTTGTTCAAACACAACCACAAACCCAGATGCAAGCTGTGAGACACTCAGTGTCAGTCAAGATACACCACCCCAAACAAGCAATAAATCCCTCTTGTCTAATAAGGAAAGAGCCTCAGACAAAGCTGAAACTGTTTCCACAACTAGTCTGAAGTCAGACTTTCTCACTCCACTCGGCAAGCCCCAAGACATTTTACCAGAGGATGTAATTCCTAGACAAATAAGTGTTGAACATAAGGAAATAACTAAACTTCAACCAAAACAAAAGGAACTCAAAGCAAATGAGTTGGTGATAAATAATAGTGCTTCTGATTACAACAATAGTAAAGACAGGATAGCTGAACAAAGTAGTCAAAATTCTGGACTTGATAAAGACAAGTTTGATGAAAAACTTGCTTTAAACACTGCAATAAACTCAAATGCCATTGATGACCTACCCAGTTTTAGTTCCAAAAAACCATCTCATTCTTCACCTTCAACTGAAAAGAAGAGACCTGTTACCAATGCTGAAACTGTCTACACAACTTTTTCAAAGTCAGGCTCACTCACAGACTCTAAAGTTGGCTCAACAAATGATTTAACTGGACTCGAAAATAGTCACGATGTCAACAAACCAATGCAAGTCCATCTACAACATTCTAAGGTGTTTGAAACCAGCCAGGAAATCAAGTGTAGCAGTCCACCCAGCAAGCCACAAGAACCCTTTCCAGAGGTTGCAGTACCTAGACAGATACCTGTAAAATACCAGGAAATGAATAGACTTCAACCAGTTCAAAATGAACTCAAACCAAATGAGTTGGTGATAGAGAGTGCCACTCCTGAGCATATCAAATGTGAATACAAGGAACCTGATCAAGAACCACCTCTAGGTAGTCAAAAATCTGTACCTGATAAAGGTGAAACTAAAGTTTTTCAAACTACGGATGAACTTTGTTCCAACACAGCCATAAACGTGAGCCATGATACACATGATCTCAGTCCAAATATGCTACGCCAGTCTAACAACAATGTTTCCTCATCTAATAAAGAGAAACCTTCAACCAAAGTTGAAACTGTCTCTACAAAAAGTCCCAAGTCAGACTTCAATGAATCCAAACCTAAAGAGTTGGTGGAAACCACTATAGCACCTAGTCATAACAAAACTAAAGGCAAAGCACTTGATCAGAAATTGACTCCATGTAGTCAAAAGTCTGTACTTGATCTGGATGAAACTAAAGTTTGTAAAACTGATGAAATACTGAATTTAAACACAGCTGTAAACCTAGATGTAGGCTATTGTAGACCTGATCTCAGTCCAGACACATCACCTCAGTCTAGCAACAAGGCACCCTCATCTAATAAAGGAAGTCTTTTAAACAAAACAAAAACAGTCCCCACAACAAGTCCAAAATCAGACTTACTCAAACAATCTGAACCTGACCAAACAAGGGATGTAAGCAGGCTCATAACCATTCAGGATAGCACCAAACCATTAGAAGACCAGCAGCACAGTTCTGAGACGTTTGAAAACAGCCAGGCAATCAAGTTGAGCAGTCCACTCAGTAAGCCACAGGAAAGTCTGGCAGAGGTCACAATACCTAAAGAGATAACTGCTAAACACAAGGAAATGAATAAACTTCAACCAGCACAAAATGAACCCAAAGCTAAGGGTTTGGTCTTAGATATTGCCATGCCTGGTCACAGCAAAAGTAAAGATAAGGTACTTGGTCAAAAAACACCTCTATGTAGTCAAACTTCTGTACCTGACCAGAATGAAATTAAAGTTCTCAAAACAGTGAATGTTCACTCTTCAAACATTGCCATACACCCAAGTGCAGTCCATAGTATACCTGATTTAAGTCCAGATACATCACCTCAATCTGACAATAAGTCACCCTTATCTAATCAGAGACTTTTGAACAAAGCCAAAACTGTCCTCACAACCAGGCCAAAGTCACTTTCACTCACAGAATCAGAACCTGACCTAACAAGTGATGTAAGAGGGTTTGTTAATAGTCAAGCTGGTTCCAAACCAACACAAGTCCATAAACAGCATACTGAGATGCTTGAAAGCAGTCAGACAATAAAATTTAGCAGTCTGCTTAACAAGCCACAAGAAACTATTCCAGAGATCGCAGGAGCTAGACAGATAACTGTTGAACATGAGGAAATTAATAAATCTCAACCAGTTCAAAATGAAACAAAAGTGGAGTTGGACATAGTAAGTGCCCCTCCTGATCACAGCAAAAGTAAAAACAAGGCACCAGAACAAAAATCATCTCTATGTAGCCAAAAGTGTGTACCTGACAAGTGTGATACTGAAGTTCTTGAAACTGAGAATAAAATATCTTCAAACACTGCAATAAACCAAGACGGGGACCACAATATACCTGATCTTAGTACAAATACACCACCCCAATCTAGCAACAAAGACCCCTCATCTAGTAAAGAGAGACATTTAAACAAAGCTCAATCTACTCTTGCAACCAGTTTAAAGTCAGACTCAAATGAATCCAAACCTAAGGATTTGCTGGTAGATACATCTGCTCCTGGTCAAAACCAAAGTAAAGACAGGACACCTGACCAAAAATCATTTAGTCAAAAGTTTACACCTGACAATGATGAAGCTAGGGTTCTTGAAACTGAGCGTAAACTTCTTTCAAATACAACACTAAACCCTGATGTAAGTCCTGATACATCCAATCTCAGTCCAGATACATCATTCCAATCTAGCAACACAAGACCCTCATCTAATAAAGAAAGACTTTTAAACAAAGCTGAAACTGTCTTCACAACCAGTCTTACGTTAGACTCAATGACAAAATTAACCTCTGAGAAAGACACTAAATCTGTAGAAACAGTAAGTACTGTTGTGGACATAACAAACACCTTAAAGTCAAACGGTGCACAAACTTCTCTGTTGCAAAATCCCCCTTACCCAAGCACAGAAGACAATCAAGAAACAACTTTGGTTTCACATGCAGATTCACACACATCAGCTATTAGCATGCAACCTAAAGTCTTTTCTGAAGTCAGTCATACCCTCCAAAGTTCCAGTGGGCTTGGGAATACTCCCCATTTTACTATTTCAACACAGTCTGAAGGTTCTATCCCCACAAATAACTTTATCGCCATCACCGCTGTGCATTCAAGAACAGATTCTATCCCTTGTAAGTCTCACTCCTCCACCAGCTCCCCAGGTCTACCTTCTTCCATCTTGTCTTTTACCACAAAGCCTTCACTCACAGCTTCTGCATCATCTTTTGTGCTTTCTCTTCCACCAGTTCCTAAACCTTGTACTATCCAGCACAGCCAGATGCTGTCAGAGAGGACCAGAAGTCCTGACTCCAGTGCAGAGGTGCCTCCTCTCACAAGTATAGTTCAGATATCTTCTGTTAAAAGGATTGAGGCTGCTTCAGAAATGCAGGGCAGTAGTAGTAACACAGATCAAAAAGTCACAGAGAATCCAAGTATTTTTGAAGATACTCCATTGCAAAATCTGTGTGTGAGTTCCCAAGAGAAAAAACATAAGGATGATGGTGGACAACATCATGGCATAGCAGGGGAGCTGTCAGTCACTGGAACCAAATTAAAAATGCAATCAGATCTTCTGATTACTGATCCACTAAAGACAGTGGGTGCAAATACTCAAGAAATAATTCCTAAAGATGTTGATTCCAACATTTTGATGTTGACAGATTCCAAGACATGTTCAGACTTTGTACGAACAGAACAGACAGAAGAAACCCTGACAAACTGTGAACTTGCTAAAGTGCCAAATTGTATACAGCCCCAAAGATACCTTGCAAGGTCACATGAGCCTCAGATAATATCATTTAGTAAGTTTATGTCACAAGACCTAGATGTTTTAGAGGCAGCAGACACTTTAAAATCTCCAATGAATGATCCAACACAGAGCCCACCACACATATTGAAAGACAGTAATGATGACAAAATACACGTATTTGTTGGAAATGCACTCAATCAGCCAGACAAACAAACACAAGTCAAACTCAGACAAAAGGAGAAACACATTGCCTATCATGAACAATCAGAAACAGGTACAAACACGGCAGAGAAACCCTTACATTTAAGTTTCCCTTTTCTACAAGCAACCTCAAATTCACCAATTACAATGCAAGAATCAAAATCAGCTGCTGTGAAAGCTTCCACTTCTGATGCACTTTCTTCACGCTCGCCTACCCCAAATTCACAAACAACTTCACCCGTCCCACGATCGTACACTCCGGACTTTCAAACACCTGTGTCTGACACTAGTGATGGGTACTTCTCACCAAGAGAAGACTCCACTTTCTCCAACACATCGGAAGAATTTTATGAATGTTGTGACTTTCCTTCGATAGAGCTCAACCCGGACACAAGTGAATCCACTAACTATAAGGTAATGGATGAACTTATCAGTCTCGTAGCTGCTAACACAGGCACTAGTCTTGTAAACTATAATTATTGCCCTATTGCTGCAACAGAAGGCACTGCAGATCAGAACACTTCAAGCACTGAAGTTGATCTTTTGCCCAGAACTACTGAAGTCACTTCGTCTTCACTCAGAATAAATAGGCAAAAATGTGAGCCAAAGGAGGACATAAATGCAAGTGACCAAGAAGAGGACATATGGGTGAGAAGGAGCAACACAGAGAAGATGAACCAAGAATCCCATGAGACTGAGGAGACAGACAGTCAAGAAGCCATTAGAATGATGAAGCATGCACAATATGAAGATGATTTAACTGAAACGGTAGCAAAAGGCAATGAGGCCCAGACTTGTATGCAAAAAAGAGCACTAATCAACTCAGCAATTGATAACGTGGTTGACAGAAAAGTGACTGGAGCAGGATCAACTGGTCAGGAAACCGAATCAAAGCGATTGTCCACTGGTGACGTTAAACTGGAAGAGGTTTCTTCTAAAGAAGACCATCCAGAAAAAGCATCTTTAAGAAAGGAGGAGGCACCAAACCAAGCTTCACTAAAACCCAACAATGAGGAGAAGAGAGGAAGACAGCCTACCAGAGAGACCAAGGGACAGAAGGTATGGCTAACACTGAATTTCTTGGGAACAATGCAGTTTTTTTTAGCAGCATAAGTATGAATTTCTGAAAGTTAGCCTTTTTCTATTGGAGATAGTAGACTAGAAAAACTAGTAAAAATAACTTTACAAAATAGCTTTGGTTTCAATATATTAAAAAATCCAACACAAAAAAAGATAAA